TTATCTCAATTTTCGGGGTTATCACGGGATGCCAAACGAAGTCGAAATATTGTATTCTTAACACCATTTTGAAGTACTCACGACCTAGTTCATCGCATTCTTAACCGCGTGCGAAACGGCCAACCGTAGCAAAAGTACCACACGTCGAAATAGATCGTTCTAAAATATGTAAATATTTTTTTCTTATCTTGATCTCAATTTTCAGGGTTACCACAGGATGTCAAACGAAATCGAAATTTCGTATTCTTAACACCATTTCGAAGTACTCACGGGCTAATTTATTGCAACCCTAACCGCGTGCGAAACGGCCAACCGTGCAAAAGTTATCACGCGCCGAAATATGCAGTTCCAAAATCTATAAACGTTTTTTTTTTAATTTTTATCTCAATTTTAGGGATTATTACGGGATGTCAAACGAAATCAAATATCACATTCTTAATACCATTTTAAAGAATTCACGACCAAGTTTTCATCGTCTTTAACGACTTGCGAAACAGCCAACTGTAACGAAAGTTACCACTCGTTAAACTATGCATTTTCAACGTAGTAAATATTGCATTTTTGTATTCCTATTTTGACGAGTGATAGCTTTCGCTATAGTTGGCTGTTTCGCACGTCGTTAAGGACGGTGAAAAGTTGGTCGTGAATTCTTTAAAATGGTATTAAGAATGCGATATTTCGATTTCGTTTGACATCCCGTAATAATCCTGAAAATTGAGATAAAAATAAGAAAAAAACGTTTATATATTTTGGAAATGCATATTTCGGCGCGTGATAACTTTTGCTACGGTTGGCCGTTTCGCACGCGGTTAGGGTTGCAATAAACTAACCCGTGAGTACTTCGAAATGGTGTTAAGAATACGAAATTTCGATTTCGTTTGACATCCTGTGATAACCCTGAAAATTGAGATCAAAATAAGAAAAAAATATTTACATATTTTAGAACGGTCTATTTCGACGCGTGGTACTTTTGCTAAGGTTGGCCGTTTCGCACGAGGTTAAGAATGCGATGAACTAGGTCGTGAGTACTTCGAAATGGTGTTAAGAATACAATATTTCGATTTCGTTTGACATCCCGTGATAACCTAGAAAATTGAGATACAAATAAAAAAAAAATATTTATATATTTTGGAACGGTCTATTTCGACGCGTGGTAACTTTTGCTACGGTTGGCCGTTTTGCACGCGGTTAAGAATGCGATAAACTAGGTATTGAGTACTTCGAAATGATGTTAAGAATAAGAGATTTAGAATTCGTTTGACATACAGTGATAAAAATGATAAATGAAT